TATATATATATATATATATATATATATATATATATATATATATATCAAAAACATCTGTTCGTGAGCTTGTTGAGCAAAAAATGTTTAAATCGAAATTGAAATTTGAAATTCTTTAAATCTCCAGAGCTAACCTTCTTCTTGTGGAATTATTCATGATCAAAAAAAATCAAACCTTCACGGTGTAATTTGTGGCATCGGCAAGTACCACAACAGTTGGGCTAAATGGAGCAGGATCAGAAGCATTTGATGAAAAGGACGACTCGGGAAAGGATGTGCTGATCAATTCCGATTCTCCATTTTTTTATATGGCACATCACTGAGCAATAAGTCTGAAAAAATACCGCGCAATTGAAAATACTGACTTTGACAATTTGAACTTGATGTGTTCCGAATGTTCCGGATTCAGTGGCTACCTTCTCACGTACTGCCTTATTCTTCTTCATTGTGGATATGGAAATTAACCTTTCAAATTTCTACGACGCACAACACAGAGTGATGATATATGGAATGATGCTTAAGTTAAAGTAAAAAAACTATTGTAAATTGTTATTCTCTAACAGTCTGCAATCGACAAAGTTTATGGAAATAAAAAGAGTTTGATAAAGACAGTATTTAAAATTCGCGTAAATTTAATCATTTTCAAACTGAAGCGGTTAAAGAAAAAATTTAAGGTTAATAGATTTGCATACATCGAACGGTTAGCGTACGACAGATTTCCTCGCAAACGCAACAAAATGAGCACAGCTTAACTGAAATCCACATATACAAACCTCTTCCAAGTCAATGGTAGCCAAGCGTAACCCGCATATAACAAAATGTGAGCAATAAGAATCGCAAGGTCCAGCCAACATAGACCAAGCCAAACTCGTATCCGTTGAATCACCACTTTCACACGTTAACGGAAAATACCATCCAGAATGTTTCGCATTAACACTCGGTTCCGTTGTCTCTCGAAGAACCGTAAAGTCTGGCCCTCTATTGTCAGCTTTAAAGTTGCATTTTAGAAGTACTCATGACGGCTTTTCACCTTTTTACATGTCTTTTTCAGTGCTCCATTTTTATTTAAAGTACTGATGATACGTAATATTCTACTACATCCCCAGATACTGAAAAAAATGAGATCTTCATATTTCAGATAAATTTTGCGAAAGCTGATTCCAATTTTAGGCTGCATACCTTCCTCTCTTAACGAGTATTTTTTGCCAAAATCAACACTACCATCTTCGCTGCAACTGGTCGGTGAAAAAGATCTCATTCCTGGCTGTGAATCCCATTTGTCAGCTGTAAAATTTATGGCATGCTTCTCAAAAATTCCACGTTTCAAAATTCAACAATTGATCGATGTGTAGCTGGAACATTTATCACAATGCTATCGATTACCTTCTGGATGAGTGTGAAAGAGCTTCAAACCCTACACTTTATCCAATATCAATAAGTTGTGGTGTGTTAGTTTCTCTAAATTAAAAAAAAAACGGATCATAGTTGAGAAGCGTTATTAAATGCAAAAAATTCGTACAACTCAGTGAATATTTAAAAATACCTTTATTTCGTACAACTCAGTGAATATTTAAAAATACCTTTATTTCCATTCGGTTGAATTGCTGAACATCGAACAAAATATGTGAGAACGTATAGCAAATGTGTGATCAATTTCATATCATTTCCGATGATAACTGTTCGAGCTAAACGTGTAGCACCGCCCACACTGCCGCTTATTTCCATGTACTGAGCTAATTGCGCATTGTACGGACAACGCATACAATCTGAACTTCCGCTCTGGAATTGGAAATTTTAGCACAGTTTAAAAGTGGAGAATTGGATAACGAGATGTTGGAATATGTCAATCAAACTCATCATGATTTTTACGTGAGCTGAGAAGATCGATATAAATGTAAAACTATGAGAGATGCATTTCAAAGTTTTACCGTCCCCATCAAAAGCGAGCGATGAAGATCTTCGCAGTCTTCTGATGGCGTGACACTGGCGACCCATGCAAGATGGTTCATCAAAACACAAGATAATAAAGTGGATACAAAGCTAAAACACTTGCAATTTTCAGTAATTGAATCACATCGATAAAACCTTTAGGGAGGGCAGTAAATGTGTTGTTCTGCAAACTTCAAGGAAGAAACTCACTATCGCGTAGATTTCAAATCATATTCACAAATCAGTGCAGCTAAATTAGTACAGAAGTTATTAGCCGTTGAAGCATACTCCCTTTCATTCATCAGACTCAACCAAACTGGAGAGCGAAATCGGTATGAATTGTACAACAAACAAACATTATGCACCAATTCTAACCACGCCTGCAACTGATCAGAAATGCACAACCTATGTTTCTGCAAGAATTTACTGTATCTAGTTTAAATAAAAGTAAAATAAAGACGAACTTTAATCATCCTCACAAAGCTTAGCAGAACCAAGCCCACACGAGCAAAACTTTTTAAGTATAGGAAATAAATGCACCTATAAATGCACAAAATGCAATAAATCCACACTTTCTGAAACAAACCAACCTCAAACAATAAATGCAAAAAACGAGTGCGAGAAAGTGTTGCTTTTAGAATTTGAGCCTCCAGTTTGATGATTTCAATTTCAATAAGAGGAATGTGACAAAGCAGAAACTGTTTCTCTTCTTCTCTGGAAAAGACGAAAGTAAAACCATTCATGTAAACTTTGTATTTGATAATGTGAAAATCGGACTATTCCATAGCACGACTACCGCAACGCAGTGATGAAACATGATGGGACGTATCATGTGAAGTTTCAAGACAAACAAGATGGTAGCACTATGAGTTGGTTGGTTTACTAAAACCATTTTATTAAAGAAAGGTTAAAAAATGAAGTAATGACAATAAGAATTTTTTGCCGCAGGATGATGTCCAATCATCTTCACATGCAGCTATGCCATCACCAACAGATATGCTGTAATGTTTAATCGAAAGGCTTAAACCAATCGCCTAAACCAATGTTGTACTGTGAAAATATATCATTAGATTCCACATCTCTAAATCAAAATAAAAGTTCGTCTGAAGACCACGGATTAGTTTTCCTGATATTTCTACCAAAGCTTTAGGTTGCTTTCATAAAGCTCTGCGGAAAATAAAACTATGGGAAAAACACACCGGAATAAGACTCCAATTGCAATCTGTCTCGACTCTTCCTCTGCTGTTGAACTACAACTACTTAAACGACTTCGGCTACACCAACGACCGGAGTTATCTGGAAGACAGGTTTGATTCCTTAAATCCGAACTATAGCAGTAACAAGTTATTAAAATAATAAGCAATACAGCAGTGAAAAATTGTTAAAATTTGGAAACTAAAAAACACCCTTAATTAATTGTAGGACAAAAACTTTCAACATCATTTCCTTTACGAAAGTCAATTAACTCCGTAATGGATGAAGCAATTTTTCATACTAACAATTTGAATACCAAACTTGTTATTTTAGGTAAATGCTTGTAAATGAAGGTACAAATAAATATACTTGGCACACCGGACTTCCAACTTCATCTTCGCACTCTATTTATCCCTCTCCCATTCATTAAGTTGAAAGCGATATTTGCCTGTTCCACCTCCTTCTCTCATCAGCATATCCTTGCATCTCAAAAAAAAAAGAAAAAAAAACCCTCTCCCCTAAATGTCTTTACTTTCTTGAATCCCTTATTATATATAGGAATTCACAGAGTCCACAGCTATTCCGAATCTTTACTACCACCTCACTTTTAATTAAGATGGATCCAGCATCTACGTTAAAGGAAAGTCCATGCTTACATCGCGCCAACGCTGGTTTCAAACTCGACGAAATGAATTTTTTAGTTTCATCCAAAATAGAACTTTTCCAATACCAAATCATAAAGCATATTTCACGAGAGACATTAGACCTTCCTACTTCAACAGTTTCCCTTTATCTCGTGGATTATCAACAGTTTCTACACGATAAACTTTATCGTGTAGATATTCTCATGAGGAAAGAAACGTAATGCCGAGAATTACCAGAGATAATGGGCATATTCTGCGCTACTTTTTTTTTTTTGCCATATATGCTTGGCAATTCTTCAATAAGATAGATCTTGATGTCACAAAAGTGAGGGAGGTGCTCATCTGTTAAAATCAAGAAAAAAAAATTAGGAAAAAAGAAATGCCATTGAAAATTAAAAAATTAAAGAATTCTATAGAAATTAAAAAATAGTACGGTATAAAATACGATTTAGAATCATCCGACCTCAGAAAAAATATCCTGAAACCTAAAATAAAAGGTTAAATATTATAAGGTAATGCCTAACATATGTTTAATAAAGCGAAAGTAAAGACTGAAATGAATGGATCAATTTCCGAAATGAATTGTTTCATAATGCATGAAGAAATTTCGTTGATGTAACCTTTTGCAACTTTGGGAAATTGAATGTTCGTTATACTGTCCATTTGAAAAAAACGGCATCACAAATTTTTGATTTCAATAATGAACTATGGGCTACTAACTAGAACTGCAGCGATGAAAACTTAACAAGTACGCAAACATTTCTGAAGGCACTTTATTATTATGTAAATTAGATAATCTGCAGTGTATGAACGATTTACAGACAAGCGTATCATCAATGAAAGTGTAACTGTGGATGTTTTGAATGCTACTCTATAAGAGTTTTTTATTTACTAACATTTATTTCAGAGAGGACTAGTATCCCACTTCTCCAAGCAACGTCGTAAAGTCTTCAAATTTAATTCCAAACAAAAATTTTATTAAAACAGTTCAAGCCGATAATTTTAGTCCAAGAGAACCTAAAAAATCATTTATTTTTAAGGTTTTTCCTACTCGTGGTAAAAATTACGAGAATTTCTTTCGAAATACGCTGATCTTTCTCTATCTTAAGTCTCGTTAAAGGCAGAGTGGAAGGAACTATAACCAAGGTATGAAAATATTCAAACACCGTTAACATTGCATTTCGCAATCGGTGAGTGTTATTTCAGGAAGGACTGTTAATTCAGCAATCAGAATGCTTTTAGTCAACCTTTCACTTCCTAGATCCTATAGGTATTACCGATACTGATGAAGCTTCGAAAAATGCAAATATTTTACTTTCATCACATAAATTGCTCCGCTGTGCAAGTTGCATACGACGATATCGGGAAAGACGATTAGGTGAGAAAGCTCGGCAAGATTTTATATTCCCTTCTTCGGTCTCCAAATGTAGGGAAGCATTCCTTACTCGGGTAAAACCTGCAATTAATTCAATCTTATTGCCAACCTGGAATATAATTTCACATGCGTTTTTTAATGAATCAACTGTTAAATATAATCTAACGTATTCAACTGGAGATGATTTAAGTCACACGAACGTAGACAATTATGAAAGAAGCTCAACATGTCAATGACAGAACTATCACGGGTAGTCCAAATGACAATCACAATGTTAGTTAGCAACCTTTGCATATGCATTAAGAATTTATTTACTTGTACATCCATATACTTTTTTATATGGTTCAGTCATAAACGGGATTGTTTCAAACCAGTAAAAGTAATGAGGCGACGATTTTCACTTTACATGAATTTTTAAAGAATATCCATGAATGCTTCTGAATGAAACCTTTGGGAGGATCAGTCGCTTGTGAGTTGTAATGTGTTGGTCCGCGCAGTCCCTCCAATGAGCAAACTGTTGAATAGGGGCTTTCCGAATCGGCACTACTGGCACTACCAACGGGGATTTTGCTGTCGCTGAAATAAATGTTCCGAATAAATCCTCAACCACTTGATATCGTGGAAATCAATATAATCGATAGAAGTCCTCTATTCAACAGATGCGTATGACTGATGCCATCTGATTTTTTAGGAATTAAATCTGATTGCAAATGTAATAGTACTAAATTTAGTTTATTGTTTTTTTTTTAACTCTAAAAATGAAAAATCCAAATTACCAATCCCCTCAATTTTGAAACTGAAAAAAAAGTGACAGCAGTGGAAAGATGAAAGTAAGGCCAATTGGAAAATATACAAATGTAAACAAGACCACTTATGGTTTTATGAAAAAATGATACCTGTTTGATGGTCTTGCCATTTTCGGGACCGAAATAACGCGACTTACCATAACTTGTTTGCTATCACTGAAAAAAAAAGAAAAAAAAACTCTGAAAAATCCTATTTTACTATCGTCTTCCAGTCTACCAAATGTATGAAACGTATAAAATTGGAGAGTTAGATGAGAAGGAAATCTAATGTGAGACAGCGAAATCAATATCAAGCTGGCCCACATCAAATATTTTTCGAAAACTTTAGATGAATTTAAACTGATTTCTACCTTTTGTTTTGCCGCAAATAATCACCGATAAAATGAATTCGTAGCAGTACTATGAAAGCCAGGGAACAAACATATATGCATATATATATATATATATATATATATATATATGTTCACTATCGAGAACTCGAAAATAATTATTTGTAACACCCTATCCCGATTACTAAGGCTGTTTCTAGTGACTTAACCTACTTTCTGTTTCAACCCGATATCTGCCAAAACACAAACACCTATCCGAGAGTTGGTCACGTCAAAAATTATCAATTGCCGGCAGAATCGGTATCTGCCCAACACAACGGTTACTTGCTGTAAGTTGAAATGCTATGGAAAAGAAAAAGTAAATTAGCACCTTAAAGAATGTATTTTGAAGGATTCATTTTTTGTTGTGGACAGTGAACCAAATATCATCTGTCCAATACAGGAAACATCTGAACGATGTCTTAAAAACTGAAAACTATTTCGGAAACATTATTCTTCCATGTAATTTTTCTATCAAAAACGATTTTTTCCTAAATGAATTCTGATAACAGTACTGACATCCATTAAATCTTCATCAGAACAAGAACACTGATAATCACAGTCTGCCGAGAAAGTTAAGACATGGTGATCATGTTTTTAAGCCCAGAAAGAAGATGTTTGTTCTGAAAGAAATCTGTAATTTACCCGAAAACGACCACAATTTGAAAGCGGTGTTTTAGTTGAAATATCAGACGTATTCACCGGTAAAACAGTTTCACTATCGAATAATAGTCGCCGCTCACTTTCAGCCAAAATAACTAACCGCAGTGATTCTTTGCCAAGCCTCTTGTCGTGAGAAAAACTAAAATTAGTAGCATGATTTTCGTCAGCACTTTATTGCTTCCATGGAAAATGAATAACTAAAATAGGTCATTTATCCAGTCCAACATATTTCATGAGAGAAAATAGGGAGGGTGGGGGAGGAGAGAGCATGTCATACTTATCGCGTAATGTTAGTTGCAATAGCACCTTCAAAACCTGCTTGAAGTACGGCATAATATGTGCCCTAATCTCAGGTAATCTTACTCAAATTGCACTTTCACGAGACATCAAAGTCGGATTTCAAGAGTGAAATATAGGTACACTCGTAAAAGGGTCAAAGATGGCATATTAGCTGCATCACGTAACAAATTTGTCTTTTTGTTCTTCAGTTTAAGCCTAAAATTGTTTTAATTTGATTCCTTGCATATGCAAAATCAGTTCTTAAAGGAACAGTTCACTAACCAAAACTTATTGATCACTTCATCGTCTCCATCCGTTTTCTTTAGAAAATTGCCAGTATTATCACTGACATGTTTAAGTGGTCGTTTTTTTGACCTTCTTGGGAAAACACTTTTCAACATCGCTAGGTTTATCCTCACATCAATAACCATCTACAGGATCGAGTTTTCTTCCTTCCAAACAACCAATTCTATTTTATTTAGGTTCTGAAACAAAAAGAAAAAAATCCCCACCAAGATTCCAACTATAGATATGAATCATAAGTTCGCAAAGGTCCCTTTCAATTTAGAGAGATGCCACTCCTGAACAACAATTCAGCTTATCATTTTTTGTGTTCCTTTGAACACCTATCTATACCGTGAACAAAAGCTCTTATGTTACGGTATTCGAACATGAAATTTTTGAAGTCCAACTATGAACTATTAAAAAGGACAGATCTTTTCCAATTCCATTCTGCATGCTAAATTTTCCGAAAGTAACGAAGCAAATACAGCACATCTTAGAAGTGATTTCCCTATAAAACTCACAGCAATTAATATCCAACCAATTATCCTCACACCCTTGTTAATAGTTTTTAAACATGTAACTAAAAGATGAAATTATTTCAGAAAAGAAATTTGAAACATATAATTTCTCAAAAATAAAATACCGGAGCTTATGAAAAATGGATGAATAAGCATGTGAAGTACGGAATATAAATTTCATTCTCAATTAATTGAAGAAATGTACTGACGTGATAAAGTTGGATCATACTATATTGCACAAGAATAAAACAACGAAGTCAACATCAGTACAGGTAATTGCAAATAATGTGACAAGTGAAAATTAGACTGCGTGTTACTTCTGCAAAATGGATACATTTTTTTTTTTACCTGGCGGATTTATCTAATATTTGAGATTACTTTTTTCCGTTTTGCTAAGAAGCATCAGATTGTTTTTCTACGACAAGAGTTTTAATTAGAAAAACACAGGAAATATATCTTAAAATAGCAACTGGAGATTATGCAAGTCTCTGCTGCATTAGTCTAAGACGAAATTCCTTTTTCTCTTTCACACCGTTTTTAAAACCACGTTTCATGAATGAATAAGTGCATGATATTTTTTGGAACTAATCTTCGATGATTCTGATTCAGAAATGACCGAAAGTGAATGGAAAAGGAGCGAAGAATGTTTAATGTTTTATCGTTTACCACATAGTTGATCACATAGTGTGGTCAACGACAAGACATTGTCCTCCCACTCGACAATGACGGTTCGACGTCGAGCAATGAATGCTAAGCGGGATGACAAAGAGTGCCACCACTCAATTCAGCGATTAAGTGATCATTTTGACGCGTCATAGTTTTATTGCAAGAAAGGTTATATGAGCCAACATGTTATGATTCACCCAACTTGTACAGCATAAAGTTTCCCGTAGATTTTGGAGGGAGGAGAAAGAAAAGCAGGAAAGTACTATGAACTCCGGAGGAAAATGGGAACCAAATCCAAAGCTTATTCTTAGCTGAAAACAAAAAGTGTGTTACCAATCTAATCAAAGATACATTATGTCTTTTAAAAAAAAAATATGGATAAAATGAAATGTGTGTAGCTGCTTTGTACGCAAAATAAATTACTGTCTACAAATCCCGAAACTGCTGAGCGCGCAATGGAACCGTTCAAAATTAAAGTGACTTGCTGTACGATGAAAACGTTTCTGTACATTGTAATAATGATTTTAAAAATTCCCAAATCTTTATAAATTCCACAGCAGTTTACGAATTATTGCCAACCCATCCATTTTCACACAGAAAAAAAAATCTACTGCAGAAAGGAAATTTCTTATTTATACAATGCGAGTTACTACTTCATCTCAGTGCTAAACTTTGCATTTTCTGGAATTACAAAATAGATTAAGTCTTTACATATATCATACGATTTTTAGTGGCAAATGAAAATAGCGTTAGCTGATGGAACATATTTGTTTTAGGTTTGGGATTGTAACTTCTTCCGCCATATAATTTCTATCATCATTTTATGGAGAAGGTATAATAAAGTGACATAACAAATGATGCGAATATTCAGAGTTTATTTAGACTAAAATTTCATGCTCCCTAACTGAATCATGTGCAAATCTTTCATGTGGATTATTCGGAACGTTGCCAATTATAACCATAAAAAATAGAAATATCTGGAAGATGTGCAATGAAATTCCTCAATGTCGAAAACCGATCGCAAGTAGTGGGTGATGGGGATAATAGAGCAGAGATATTATCATTTGGCGTCTAATAGTAACAGGCAATAATGACAAGAGGAAGCAACGATTTCGAGGAGGGTACATCCTAGTGAATTCATTTTCTTACACGTCATGTTCGCAAGGGAAACGGAAAGTGGGCTAGGGAAGCAGAAAGAGCTGACGTCATCGTTTCCAAATTGGTATTCAGCTTAGATTTCGTCTCAAAGAATTAGCGAACGCTTCCACGACACCGAATTATGCTGGGAACGGGAAAATGAAAGGGCATTTCAGGTTCTCCTAGAATTACATTTACTTAGTCAGAAATTACACAGGAAGGAATGGTCCCAAGAGCGTTTACGATAAGTTATCAGTCTTTTTGAATCAAGTGAATCTTTCCGGGTGCTGATCAATGTTCTGAGCATGAATGATTTACAGAATGTTAGAATGATGTTTGTTTAATGCATCCATTTTATAAATAAATTTGAAAAAAAACACAAACATGTAAAAGTCGAAGTGCGTGAAGCACTGGAACAAACGTATTGTAATAATGTGCAAAGATACTTGTCATTTACTTATTTCTTTATAAGCGAAGAATTCAATTTTATGTTACATGGATATATCAAACGTAGAAGTGACGGGAAAGAAACAGACAGACAGCATGAAATTTCAGAATGATGAAACCACAGGTGATGACAATACCAAAATAAACATCGCTTTCAGGAACGATCAAAATTGCAGTAGGCAGCATAACATGGATAAGTGCGTCATGAAACAACGTTTAACTATCCAAGTGAATAGGTAGTAAACGGTAAAAAAATAACTGAACGTATGAGATGTAATCACAAATAAATTAATGGGCGATAACAATTCATCCGATAACAATGTTACATAAAAGGTGGTTGCAGACATTCATGGAAATCTTAGCTCGATGGCAGAGCAGGGAGAGAAGGAGGGAAAGAGAGGGAAATAAGATTATTCGGGTGGTGTGTATCAGTATCGAAAGGCCAGTAGCTGATCTTATTTGCACCATGAAATAGCCTGTTCATACAACCCTTGAAACTGATCAAATGTTAGGAAAAAGTAATTGTTTGGGGATACTGAACGGTATAACGGTGAGGGTTGTCATGATCATGATTCATAAACTGGGTGCTACCCATGAGCTCATGTTTCCGGGGAAGAAAGGTAGTTAGTTGATGGATACTGTCGCTTCTCTAATTAACAACAAATAATGATAGGAGACAATGGTGGTGAGGCGGAACGGGTATCGGCTGATCGGCGACGGGGCCAATGGGCGACTGCACGGCGAAAAAGAGGAAAAGTTTACTGGCATAAGGTGGGATACCACATTGTCGGAGGCGGGTGATGCATTACACTCCAATGCAGCAGCATTCAGACCCGCACAAAACACCCATCCTGAAACACACATATAGAGCTGACAGAAGTACTAAATGTCTGTCTCCCCGTCTGTTTGTCTGTATTTCCTTCGGAATGTGTCTGTGCGGAGGCGTCTCGGCAATGGATCGAGGTTCCTTGGCTCCCCGCCTGCTCTATCCACATCATTCTTCGTACCTCTCATGCCATCTGCACGTGACTAATGTTGGCTGGGAGCCAGCAAATAGTGACGGACGTAAGGAGCGGACGGACGGAGATAAGCTCCGCCTACACATGTGTAGCTCGCGGGCGATAGGTGTTTCTGTTGTAATCGGTACCGAGCATTACGCTGCCTTTACGGAGGGAGCGTGGCCGAAGGGAGACGTATGCAGGATATACTACGTGTTTTCATCATGCTTTGTGGATTGATGCATTCCAGCACTTAGTGTTCCAGTGAGAGCAGGGGGAGTTCATCAAGAGTGGAATGCAACACACATGCACACATGCGTGCACATACAGACGTCGCACATGCATTCAGCTACCGAATGGACGTGCAACGATACTGCACACATCTTTATTGTTTCATTCATACCTTAACAGTCCTACCTTTAGTCCACCCCCCGCCATTCCCCAGTCTATTCCACCCTGTGCCTTGCATGACTGTCTCACTACTTCGTGAAACAGAATTTGTTGAAGGATGCTTTGTGGTGACCTATTAGCCAACACTAGTGGTTTAATACAAGAGGAGAGAAGTTCATCAGCAAATATTTTGCATCTCAGATTTGAAATAATTGTCAACATTGAGTTTCATTAGGAATAATTTTCAACCTAGTAAAGGATGCGCGGTTCATTAGTATTTGGGAAGCACGATCACATCAGAGTTTCATTTCCAAAGATTCAGAAATAAACGAGCTTTCCTACACATCTCCTTTTAATTGTCATCCATTTAATTGACATCTCACGTGAAGTACGTCTTTTCTGCGGTGAGTCCTTCCTGTGTGGTGTCTATGTATTTGGAAATCGGTAAATTCCATTACTTTGGGCATATGAGCATACGTACTCTTAAGCGAAATACTTCCTGCAAATAGGATAGGGATGACGGTAAGGATGAGCTTTAGTAAAAAAAAAAAAATGCAAGAAGTAAAGCTGATTATGATCGCAGTGCTAACAAGTCTGTTTTTGTCTCGGTGTGGACGAGAAGTGGGGAAAAAAGCTGCAAGAACGGGAAGAGGCGGAAAAGCAGGAGGTAACAAGGGACTATGTTTTCTCAGACGATGAATATACAAGTTGTTAGAAGTTTTCAGAGGGGATTAGCCGGTACGGCAGTGAAGAAAATTTGCGAAGGGCTGAACTAAACATCAGTGACTGAACACCCACATCGTAAATTTTTTTTTTAAATTTTCTATTTTAAAAGCTCTAGCTATTGGGTAGATTGTTAGGGGATGATTGAAAGGGAACTCTGCATTCGCAAATTGGTGGAATTTCCCCATGTAGTCGTAAAAACAGAACACTGCAAGATATTTGAACAATTGATAGTTTAAGTGTCTTGGGATGTGCACTAATAGTTTAGATAGATTAGATCCATCAAATCTCCAAATTAAATTCCTAGCTGATTAGCCTTTTTTGACGAAATTTCAATAGTCCTCGTTGTCGAATCCTTCTGTGGTATAGATTTCTTCATAAAAGATACTAAAAAAAAATCTTTAATAATTAGATTCGAAACATGAAATACGGTGCCGACAAGAAAAAAGACGCCAAATAAATGCCTTTTGTGAATTCCAATGCAAATAAGGGTAGGTAGCAAAATACACAAAAGTGTTGTTTTTGAATGTAGTGATAATAATTCACTAAATCTGATTTGTACTTCATAAATTGACTGAAACCAGATATACTCGGGGTCTAATACGGTTCGGGAGTACACCTGCATTTGAATGTTAGGATTATGTAACAGGAAAGAGTGAAAGCATGCAAGGCCGAACAAGAAAAACATTTTAAAAGAAGAGGGTAAAAGTATATCATTTTCCTCAATATAGGATTTCAAACATTCAACAGTTTTTATGTGGGGTTTGTCCAGAATAAAAACAGTTGTTATCATATAAAACGTACTTGAAAAGGCCATAACGAATGATTCGAATAAAAGAGAGGTAAGAGAGAAAGAGGGTCATCTAGTGACTTGTTTTTTGGTTTGTAGAAAGCGGAGATTTGGACAGGAGGAAATGAAAGGTAAAGCTTTGAAAAGTAATTTAAACCTCTTTTAAATGTGCACTTGCACTATCAAAGAATGAATGAGGAAGTAATGTTTACTCTAACAGATACTTACTTTAATGATGCGCTCCTGGATTTATGAAGATTTCATGAATTTTAAAGATTTTCAATTATTTTAGAAAATCTGTTCAAAAAAATCTTCCGCTCTAATGCGGGATTGTCTGCAGATAGATGTCTATGTTTAGTACGATGTAATCAAGACTTTGAACAATCGCATACAACTAAATTAAAGAGAACAAACTTTCCGATGGATGGAACGGAATGGATGATAGCTGAATAGTAAAGACATTGGGATGTATTATGAACGTATATTGCAATGAATGACTAAACATTTTAATGTTAATTTCAAATGATGACTCATATTTTCAATCGTTCAATGATGAATCACTATCAGAAGACGATGGCAGCTTTTCAGACAGGATTTTTAAGATTTAAGATTCTGAATTGCGCCAAGGATTTTGAGAGTTGATTTCAAAGGCTTGCTTATGTTAAAGCAAACTAATAGCCGCGGGAACAATGGGAAAAACAAAAGATAAAATCGTAAAGAGTCATTCCGAAGTTCAAAATATGAGTAGTGGGGGACGTCCTTTCCATCCTTTCTCTTCTGCTCCCGATTTCCTATCACTTCTCCGATTTCGCTGATTTTAAAAATTTGGAAATTCATGTTCTTTCCACTCAATGTTTGTTTCACATGAAAAAACCTCGAGTGGCTCATTCTCTTGCAGTGATTACATGAGCAGCAGCATCAACAAACTACAGTCCGAAATAAAGTTAAGTATAAATTGGTTTGAAAACACATATAGTAGACAAATTTCCAAATTTGAAAACCTCCCCTTAAATCTTACATTTACTTTAATTCTCGATTTATCAAACTCCTTTAAATCTGAATTTTCGCTTTAGCAGAAAATCTTCACGTACTTCATTTCTAAGGCTTATTACAGCCTATTACAATACAGATAGTTGTAAAGCTGTTCCAAGTGATAGTAAGACCCAAGTAGGAAAACTGAAATGAATGCTTGGAAACTGAAATGAAACTGAAATGAATGGTTGAACTTCAGTTCCAAATTACTAGGATTTGCACGTTCAGTTTGAACGTTCAACCTCTCAGTTGTCACTATTTCCACTCTATGTTATTTGAAAAAAAAAAAACTAGCGCCTACGCAACTAGTTATCATAGCTGTTTCCCATACGTCTGCAACCAGACATACAATAACAAAGTTGACCTTTCTATCTAATCCATATAGTGAAGATGTTTAGAATGTACTTCATAAGATTTATTTACAAAAAAAGAATAAGAGGAACTAAATTTGAAACAACAGATATTAAGGGAAGACAACAATAAATTAACACTTGCTAGATCATCGAAAGGCAGCAACAATAATGATGTCAAGCTTTGAACGTTACAACCGAAACTAGTGATACTGATGGTTTAAATGGTGGTGACAGTGTGATCTCAACTAAGTTTATGTTCGAAATTAAGTATCCTTATCTATAAATGATTATTTAAAACAAAATTAATGTAAAATAAATGTTAAAAAAATATAAAGCCAACAAACACAACATTTCGAACGAACACGATCGAAATTTTCGAAAACTTATAGAGGTAGTTGCCAAATCAGCGTACATCACATACTAAACTTTAGACTGCTTGAAGTTTTGGGACAGTTTTTACAGAAAATAATTTTAGTTGTGGTGGTTGTTTAAACTTAACCAGTAAGTCTCGCTTCACCCATAATCAACAACTTTGCACATAAAATGATAAGAACATAAAATTCATAGTTCTGAATGCTTCGCCTCATCTTTTCCCTCGACAGACTCTTTGTTTTCACCCTCTTCCTCAATTTCAGGTTCTTCTTCCACTGGTTCATCCGGTGATACGTTTATCGTTCGACGAAGAATCTGAAAGCATGTAGGCAATTTCTAGTAAGATGCACTAGAATAGAATGATCGCATGTTAAGCGTATCTTTGAGGAATTAGATGGACATACCTGCTCAACTCGTTCAGCAAATCCAATTTGATCATTCAGAGTGAAACCAGACCGTAATGTAGCCGTTTCAAACAGCAGCAAAGCTGTATCAGTTGCTTTCTCGTTACTTTCTCCAGATTGCACACGACGTAATAGTTCCTTGATAACAGGATGGCGTGGATTGATTTCGAATGTTTTCTTCTGATTTGCGTAAAATTCCTTCAAAAAATCGATAGTCCTGCAGAAGCAAGCTTTTTAGTTTATCCAGGGAAACCAATAATTTATGACAAAATAACCTGAGTTGGGTCATAAGATTTCGAATGCGCTTGAGATTTCATGATCCGTTCCATGTTGCCTGACCAACCGTAAGAAGATGCGACAAGCGCACATGGTGATTGTACCAAACGTTGCGAAACGAGTGCTTTCTCAATCTTATCCTAAAAGCACTGAATAATTAACATATTTGAATTCAGAAAAAAAAACATGAAAACCAAAACGAACAGTAAATTTAAATTACAGGGTCAAAGCATAGCTTTAGAACTGGTATAAAAGGAATGAAAAATGAATGCAAAAAAGCCTTGAATTTTGATATGTATCGTTATTCGTATAAGCAATATTAGCTGTTGTTTGGCGGACTATGGCATAGTTCAGGATGTCATACCTCAAAATTCGCATTTCCTATGCAGTGATAATTCATCCACTAACACTTTTTCTTTGAACTGACTGCTTCAATTCGTAAGACGAAGTCGATACAAGTCAAACTAAACTTGTTGCTTACCTTCAGAGCCACGTTTTTGAGCCAATCCGTCAATGGCTCATATTCCTTTTCTAGCTGCTCTTGCATTTCCTTATTCTTTTCACCATCATCAATTTTCAATCCTTCCTTGGCAGCATTCTGGAATTTCTTTCCGTCGAATTCCGGCATCGATTGAATAGCATATTCGTCAACAGCCTCCACCAAATATAATACCTCATATCCTTTCTTCAGCAAACGTTCAACAAAAGGCGAAGATTCCACCTGTAAAAAATAAAATTCGAACTACATAACTGGCTTCGGAAAATTTTAAAAAAAGATCTCTTTCTTCCCAGTGTCTCCGTAGTTTTATTTAAATAAAAACTTTTTTTACAAAGAAATATGCCGGAAAAGTAACCTCTTCTCGTGAACTTCCAGCTACATAAAAGATCATTTCTTGTTTATCCTTCATTCGGCTCACGTACTCAGCAAGTGAAATCATCTCGTCCTGTAACAATGAAAATGTAATGCACTTAACAAGAAGTAGTTAAGACTTCCTTTAAAAATATCAGAAAACTTCTGACTTGAGAATGAAGACATCGTATTAAAGCGTTAGGAGACATTACTTTTTTATGAGAAGAATAGAAACGCAAGAGCTTTGCAAGACGTGTTCTGTTTGTGGGATCTTCCATGATACCTAGCTTGATGTTTGTGCTGTATTCCTTCCAAAAATGTTCAAAATCACCAGGTTCCATCTTCTTGAGCATATCCAGTACTTTCCTTACAAGCTTCTTCTTAATAACCTGGAACAAAACTCCTACAACCCATATCTCTGTTAACCGTCAGAAATGCAGAATTTAAGGTGAGAGAAAAGAAATCGGTGCCTTTGGTTCGGTTGCTTCCCTTTTGTGGTCCACGTAACGAATCATCTCTCAAACATAAATACCTTCAAAAGTTTATGCTGTTGAAGCGTTTCACGAGAAACATTCAGTGGAAGATCATCCGAATCTACAATTCCACGGATGAAAGATAAATACTTCGGCATCATATCATGAAAATCATCGGTGATGAAAACACGACGTACATACAGTTTGATATTGTCTGTACCCTGAAGACCATTCTTTTACAGTAATAAAGTCAAGTAAAATAGCGTGAAGACAGAATTTCAAAATTAAAGGGAGCGATTCGTATCAATAAACCACTGAGATCAACTGGAGAAAAAAAAAGAGCAATACCTTTCCATAATTCTGAAACATATCGAATGGACTATGTCGAGGAACATAGAGAATGGATTTGAAGGTGACCTCCCCTTCAGCTGTAAAATGTACATATGCAAGAGGGTTTTCTTGGTCCTGAAACAAATAACAAAGGTCAATTCTGTTTGCAGAAATGAATTCCTGGAAAGGATAGCCGGTGGTAGAAAAGAATGGTCAGGTGAAGATCAAATTACGGTCAAATATTAAAAAAAAATAACATGAAATTTGTAAGCATTAAAACTGCGAATAAATTTCATTTAATTATCCGAAAAGTAAGTTACTAATAACAGAAATGTTGCAAAAAATGTTGTAGACATCCATTTCATGAACCTTAGTGATGCTCTTGTAAAATTCTTTGTATTCCTCCATTTCAACATCATCATTCTTTCGCATCCATATTGGCTTCACATTGTTGATTTTTTCCCAATCCCATGTTGTCTTTTCGACCTTTTTGGTTTTCGGTTCCGTTTTGTCCTCCTCAACCTTACCATCACCATCTTCAGTCTTTTCGTCAGTTATTTTTTCTGTTTCATCAATGGGTTCTTCAACTGTTTCCGTCTGAAAACGCTAACATAGTGCACAACACCCTTTCTGTATGTTAAAGAAGAAAGATAAAACGAACATAAATTACCTTCGACTGCCACAAGTAGATGTTAAAATTGATGAACTGACTATACTTTTCCACTAAGTTCTTCAATGTATCGGCTTCTAGGAAGTCATAAGCTTCTTCCTTCAGATGCAATGTAACTTGTGTACCACGCTTAAGAGTCGCACCCCGAGGATCTTTTGCAACCGTGAATCTACAAATCACGGGAATTAAAAAAAAAATTCGATTTTATTCATTAAATTAATCCATGACGAACAACAGACATATCCAGTAAGCAAAGCCATCTAAAATCAACGAGCAAAAGATGCAATCCATATAAAAACTTACGAAGAACTGTCAGATTCCCAGATGTACTGATCATCATCATTGTGTTTTGAAGTTACGACAACACGATCTGCAACAAGATAGGAAGAGTAGAAACCGACACCGAACTGTCCAATCATGTCCTGTTGTTGTTCCAGTGATGTGGAAGAATCCAACAGCTTTGACAAGAACTCTGATGTTCCTGATCGTGCAATCGTACCCAAATTATTGATCAAATCTGTTTTTGTCATTCCAATGCCAGTGTCCGTTACATGCAACATGTGATTTTCTGGATCTGCCTAAAATTCAACGAAGAGAAGCCAGATGTTTCGAAAACTTTTATCCAAACGCACAATTTCAAAACGATTAAGACGAGAAACCATGCCTTAATCCGAATTGAAAGTTCATCAGTAGCAGAAAGAACCAATGGATCTGTCAATGATAACATCCGAATTTTGTCCAATGCGTCCGAAGCATTTGATATCAACTCACGAAGGAAAATCTCCTTGTTTCTGGAAACAAGTAGAATGCTAATTCAGATGCTATTGCGATTGATAAGTAAAACGTGTTATGTGAATTGTTAAGACGCACATTTTGCTTATCGGCTTCATTGAAGCATACCACAACACAGGTTATAATCCAAACTTACAAAACTGTAAAGAATGAGACACAAACATAGACTTACTTATACAAAGAGTTAATAATCAGTTTCATCATACGATTTACTTCAGCCTGAAAGCTGTGTTTCTCGGCTCGAGTTCTCAATTCTTTCATCTCTGCAACAGAAAGACCATCCAGTTTAATTGCTTCCTCCTCCCTGAAACCAAATTATTTTTTTTCCACTGCACAAAGACCACAACAAAAGACATGGTCGAGAACGGCATAAATGTCACCCATATATATATCAGAATTGCAGACAATGAGATATAAACCAACCTCTGAACAACTTCATCATCCGTTTTCGAGCTCGTCTTAGTTCTTCCAATATTTTCCTTCACTGTTCCTTCATCACTTGACTCAACTTTGGCGTCTACTTTTGTAAGTGGTAAAAAGGCTAAAAAAATCAATATGCAAATTTTTGGCTTGATCAGCTTTTCAAGGTTTTAGTTTTTCCGCTTTTGGTGAGCAATAAATTCATATGAATCCATAAAGTCCGGTCTATTTAATGACTAAACAATATGAAATGATGAGACATATCGGAAGCAACTGGATCACCGAGTTAATGTAAACAATTGAAAGGGAATATTAACGTTTGGCCTGTAACTACACTGAATATCTTTTTGTCAGTAGTAATATTCGAACAAGTGACCGAAATATTGCCATTTCCTTCATTACGGTGATAGAATGATGACAAAAACATCGTTAAACTCAATTATTTTAAAGATGCAAACATGCATAAAAATTATAAATGGATATATTTTAAGCAACATACCGAAAACAAAAATAACAGTGATGAGAATGATGAAGTTTGCGGCATAATTATTAGCCATAGAGATAAATATACAACGATCGCCCCTAGTCTGGAACAAGAATGTCAGACGACGATAATAAAACGACAGATATCCTGAAAAAGGACATTCATTATACCTGTTGCCCTCTCATGCAAAAACACCACAAATGACAGACAAAACGTTCTGATTGCATCGCTGAAATACCGGAATATCTGAAGCTAATTTAGAAAAAGTCTGCGAGAAATAAAGGAAAAGTTCTATAATATTGTTTTGTTAAACCAATACGCATGCACATATATGTACGAACAAACAAACAAACACGCACGCACGCACGCACTCACTCACACACACGCACGCACCACCGCCAACAACACAACCACTCCACTAAGTACAGTAAAATCCCTTCACCGCCTTGTAATAAATACCACCCCACCAACCAATCACTTCGTTCCACCCGCCCTAAACTTTCTGTGATTCAGCACAATTTGATTGGCCAGCCAGTTGCTAGGGACGTGTACGTAACTTATTTCACGGTGACACTATGAAATTTTGACGAGCTGCCTTTTCGATGATACGACTTTCGGGGTATGTGTGCGTTATTGGCATTGCGTTTTCGTTTCTCGTTTCAGCAGGATCGGTCTCGGAAGTTTACTAGTTTTTCTTTTTCTTTTTTGTTTGTTGTATACTTTCAACTTGGTTTCGGTAAAACTTGGATGAAATAAATTTTACTTCGGTATTCGTCAGTCAAGAGTGAAAACATAGAATTTAATTTATATTTGGAGAAATCAGCGATATCCTTCAAAAACCATTGGCCTTTAATTTCTGCAGGATAGCTCATAGAGTTCTTCATTCTGACACTTTTCACAACGGATCCAAAGTATCGCATTGCTGGGCTTCCATTGTTCTTTGTTCGAATTTTGTGTTGTTGCCCTGTATTCAATTTTATGGAATACCTGTTGACCGCTGACTAATCTTAAACACAAACAAATGCCTATAGGAAAGCTCTTTGAGAGGAGCTGTTATCACTTCTGCTTTCCAAAAATGCTGTAGCTACAATGTAGACATACAGTTGTGTAAAACATGTATCGTCCCGCGAAATAGCTTATTTCAGCGGCTCTCTGTAACGGCCAAATGCTTTATAATGCCTCAGGTTTTTTTTTCTTTTTTTGAATTTCCTCTACACTACTGTTTCCTCATACGCATTCAGCTGAAGAATATGTTGAAAAGGAAATGAGAGTCAAAAAGCTTGAATATTGAATGTTGTTGATTGTGAGATTGAGAATGAGAAGTGGGAATCAGAGATTTAGCGACCAAAGGCAAAAGTAGTCATTAGTTTGTGTAATTGTTGGCCTTCGCTAGCAGAAGCTGAAACAGTATATCAAAACAGATGCAGATTGAAATAAGCCTACATGCTCTTCAAATTATGCGAATTAGAAAAAAACAATAACACTTGTGCTCGGTGTCGCTGTCGGTATTCGGAATTTCTAAAATGAATGAAAACAACACTAATAGTAATTAAATTGCTGTGCAAATGGATATTCCTAAGCGCAATGGAGTCCAACGACAGTGGCATTCACGTTCAGATCTGGAGACACTTTCCGATTTCTCTCAGGCTAATGAACGTTTCTACAGAGTATATTCAGAGCTACATTTAATGCAGTGGTGTAGATTTGGATTTTGAAATACAAGCAGAGACGGAGTGGCGAAGTATCGATAAAAGCTTCCATTGCCCCTGGTATAGGTAGTTCCACCGCAAAATTCATTTACATCGCATTTCGGAATTAGATTTTGTACTAAAAACACTACAGTCCTTTGTTTAGATCTGAAATTTTTGCTCTCTTCTAGTTCCGCTGTGTCAGGTTCGTTGTTTAAATTTAACGGGGACTTACATGATGAACAAAATATTTGCTTAAAAAAAGCGTTAAATAATTTCATACCAGCGGTGATTGTTATGGTACGGTATTACTAAATGGGGGTTGAATGACTTATTGCTCAGGTTATTTCTGGCATGTTTTCCAGTGAGATCAACCTGCTAAAATATGATGGTAGGCCGGAGGAGCTAATTTTCTGAAACTGAAACTGATATTATCACGAGTCTCAAATTCCATGAATCCAATAAAATTACTCATTTCACTTCATACTTTGCTTTGCGATAATAGGCGTTACTTCTTTTTCTCTTCTTCCTAGTGTAGATAAACGTAGGTGCAGCTCATAACATGGCCGATTTTAACGTAGGGTTTTATTCACTTGCTGTTTAAATTGGTTTTTGATGTCTGGAAAGCTTCCATTTTTCAATTTCGTGAGGTTCCAAAAAGTGATTGATTCTTCGCAGTGGTCAAGATGCGTTAAGTCAGTAATGATTAGGGACGTACCCCTGACCTATATTTTTCCATTTCAGACGTTTTACTTATCCTTAATTTGTAGAACAAAGGGAGCTACACATCAGAAATTCTCATTTTACTGTTGAATGTTGTATTTCCCCACAAGACCACCTGAGTTGTTGTTCTATAAGGGAAGACCTTCTAGCGAACCCATTCGAGTTCTATCTGGCATGATTTCTTCATTAAATCTCTGTGTTACTGATGTGTACTTTTCAGTTCGGAAGGTGCAGGATGACGGAGGCAACGACATTACCATCTGCTGACAATATAATTTCCAGTGTTTCCAATGTTACTATCACTTACACAGCGAAGGAGCAGGTTAGAAATTGTTCCTTCAAAATCGGTTCAAATTATTTCATCGCGAAAACAAGTATTACTTTGGCCCTCATGAGGAAAAATAATTGAAAATATCTCTTGGTGATTGAGACTTGTAAATGCACATCTCTTATTGATTTTGTTTCATTAACTGGTAGCTTTAGAATATGATCTTATAATTATTGCAAACTGGGAATTTCCATTAGAATCTGTCTTCCTGTTTTTGTTTTGCCGGGAACCATTATCTGGATTCACTAACGAGTTGTTAGCTATTTCTGTTGTCCGTGTACATTTTTTAGTATGTACACGCTATGTGAATAAAGCACCTTCCGAGAAGCTATGTTAAGTAGACGATGTAGCCAAACTGGCTTGCCTCAGCTTTGCGTTTCATTTTTGTCACTAGTTATGGTTCGTTCATCTAAACCTTCCAGGACGATTGAATGCAAATAATGGTATAATGAAATTTTAAGTGGTATATGGCACTTCAGGGGAAGCCGTCGTTCATAAGATGGCCGTCTGTATCACTGTTAGATAATTAAATGTCATTTATTATATTAATTTATTTTCCAGATTACAGCTTATGGTTCCATATATGGTATGGCACTTTTCTGTATTGTTATCGGTAGCATTCGTTCCCTGTATTTTGTGCAAAAACACATGCGTAAAAAGCGACTCATAGAAACTTCGATAACAGTGAATGAAGCTAAAAAGTTTCCGTTAACGGCATCCTGTGTTCTGTTCGGACTTTATATCTTTTTCGGGTATTTGTGCTTTGTTTCAGAGGATATTAAATGTATAGGGGACAATAGCTGGAAAAGCCCTGGTACTGTAACAATTATATGTATATATGCTTGTATATATATATATATATATATATATATATATATATATATATATATATATATATATATATATATATATATATAT